GGTTACAAAATTAGATTATAAATGTAGAGCGGTAGTTAAATGAGCTTGGCCTCCCCCGGCCCCCGCCCCGCTGCCAGCCCTGCTGCCTGCGGGAGCGTTCGCCACAGAATCCTCCGTCCAAAAGTGTTCTGCGACACTCGGCTCCTTTTTTCAAATTGTGGGGTGGGAACGTGGTTCCCAGATCAGTTTGGCAAAGAGCCACGTGCCACCACAAATCTGTAACCATTTAAGCGCAGTCCGTCTTGATTCTTAGGGGGTCACCGGTCCCTTTACTGACCGAGTTTCCATCTTAACATGAGAAGGAACTTCTTTACTTTGAGGGTAGTGGAGCACTGGCACAGGCTGCCCAGAGAGGTGGTGGAGTCTCCCACTCTGGAGACATTCAAAACCCGCCTGGACGCTGTCCTGTGTAATGTGCTGTAGGTGACCCTGCTCTGGCAGGAGGGTTGGACTAGATGATCTCCAGAGGTCCCTTCCAACCCTGACCATTCTGTGAATTCTGTGAATTCTGTGAGTCCCTTTGGCTGAAGGTTCCTGTCCCTGTTCGTGACGTGGGGTCTGTCATGTGCTCATCAGCAGCGTGCGCCGCAGCTCGTTCACCCCGCCAGTTACTCGCATTAATTTTATTAGAAGATTACCATAAGACCACCCCGACCCCACGAGCGGACAGGTCTAGATGAGGGAGGGCAATAATGTGAGTGTGGTGGGTTTCTGTCTCGGGTTTCCAGGTTTAATAGACTGACACCAAAATTCGTGAGGCAAAAAGAGAGTGAGTGAAGAGAAATGTTGAACTGAAAAGTCGGGCCTTCGGCTGTGCGTGTGACATTGCCCGGTGAGGAAGGACCGCGTGCTGAAGTGTAGGAACGTCTCTGTCCATCTGCCTGGTTGAAGTACAGGGGAAGACCTGAAAGCCACTCTGTGACCTGCTGAAGTGATGGGCAGTTGTCCACCCGGGTCCCCCGTGGAGTGGCCGACCACGTCTGCCGCTTCTCATCGGATGTGCCGCGGAGTCAGAGGGCTCCAAGTCTTCATCTCGTCACGTTCCGTGGCTGAGAGCAGTACTGCGAGCGGCTGAGTTCGAGGCTCTGACACGGCTGTAGATATTTTTAAGTAGAGTTGGATTTGGCTTCTGTTAAGAGCACAAAACTGCTTATTATTAAACCTCACCCAAAATAATTTCTTTTCTTTGTTATTTGATAGCACACTTAAAAGAGAGGCTGGATGAGTATATTAAGCAGTGGAACGGCCTTGTAAAGGTATTTCGGAACGAGAGGAGAGAAGGTTTAATCCAAGCTAGGAGCATCGGAGCCCAGAAGGCGAAACTTGGACAGGTAAGGAGCCAGTTCACACACAAGCCTGTCTTTTTTTGCTTTTTGGGGGGAAGAGGTGGTGGTGGTCCTATGTTCAAATAGATGTGTAGAAATGTAGTATTGTATTATTGATATTGTTCTAAAAAGTGATTAATTTTACTTGTTCAAGCTTCATTTTTTTGTTTATAATATGAAAGTATTTCAGTGTAAGTAAGGTTAATTAAACAATCGTGATCTCACATACAGAAATATAAATGACTTTATTTTTTTTTTCCTTTTGAAGGTTTTGGTTTACCTCGATGCCCATTGTGAGGTGGGAATTAATTGGTATGCGCCACTTATAGCTCCTATATCTAAGGACAGGTAATGTTCTCCCGTTATCTCCAGTGTCTGGCCTCTTAGGAAGAGAAAGTCACAGTAACGATCTTCACTTTTCAAACTGTAGTCTATACATTTTGTATCTATAGCAGTATATAGCTATATCAAACTATATCAATACTTGCTGTATGATGATTTTATTATCTCTCCGCGTAAAAGCTATGTAAGGAAGAAGGAAAATAGTCGGGTGAATAACTCTCCGGCTAGTTTGTTTCAATAGGCGCACTGAATATTTTGCTTAGTATAGATGAAATATAAGACAGCTCTCGTCTTCTGCACCGATCTGAGGGACTGTTATAAAAATGTTCTGCTCTAGCTGAGTAAGGAGCCTGATGAAACAAAATAGCTAAACAAAACCGTGATTTTTGGTAGAGGAAAAGTAGCAGTAAGTGTTTTGATTTGACAGAGATTTAAAGCCCCGGGATCTCAAGAGTTTTATGACTTTCTCCTCTTTGGTTTTGCAATATGGTCTTACTCGTTTCCCCTGGAGCGCTTTGGAGCGCTGTCTGCGGGGCAGCCAGGCCAGCGCTGGAGCCCGTCCCCGCCGCACCGCGGCCGTGGTGGCGATGGGGCGCTGCGTGCTGGCGGGCAGTCAGGGGGTATGTGTGTTTAGGAAACCATGTGCTTGTTTAAACTCCTTAATCCCATAAAATAACTGCTTAATCCTAAAAACTATTTGTTAACCTGTCGTACCACCAGGACTTTCTTGAAGAGGGGGTTTTTGTGTGTGTTTCAAAGGCTGTAACTCAGCTTAAAAGACTGGATTTGGGCCAGGATCCTAGAGAGAAGGTGGAAATGCTTGTGTGCTTCCATCGAGTGCCCGTTACTCATTTTACAGGAGCAAGGCAGGGGAGAGCGGGCAGCTTTGGAGGCGTCCTCCAGCGCTGCCACCGCGGGGCGGGCAGGGGAGGACCGGGGGCTGGCGGGCAGCACCCAAAGCCAAAGCCCATTTGGAGAAGCCCATTTGGAAAATTCAGGGAGAATAACAAGATAATGTCTTTTGGTTGGGGAGTATTGTATGTGACGGGTCACAGGGAGGAGCATATTGCAAATCAAACAGGAAAAATTCTGCCGAAGACGGCTGTTAGGAGAGCGAGCACCAGTAACTTTTTTTTATCCTGAGAGGTTGGACTTGCAGGGCAGTGGGATAGGAGAGAATAGTGAAAATCCATGTTTACACTAGTAAGAGCTAAGAGCTTATCAGACTTGTTGACAGCTGAGATCTGATATGAATAGAAATGAGGGGAGATGCGAATGCTGCGGGAGCCCCAGCCCCCTCAAGGCTCCTCTGTTGCCTCCAGCCGCGCGTTATTAGAAGACCGACGTCGAGAAGGACACGTAAGCGAACAAGTCTTGATAAAGGAATTGCTATATTAGCATTTCAGACCTAACTCTTCTGCTTTCAGAACCTCTTAAAACAACATAAAGACAGGAGTGTCTCTTTTTTTCTTCTAACGAGGCTTCGTTTTTTCATAATATGTTTACGAGTGACTTTTCATATAAACTGCTCTGTAAGGTTAATGATTTATGGTGTCGATTTCCAATGAGACAGATTACTCTTCTGAAATTGTATTTTGCTCTTTCTTTCCCTTCTATAAATGTTTCAGAACTACATGTACTGTACCTCTAATAGATTACATAGATGGGAATGATTATTCCATTGAGCCACAACAAGGTGGGGATGAAGATGGTTTTGCCAGAGGGGCCTGGGACTGGAGTTTGCTATGGAAACGAATTCCGTTAAGCCACAAGGAAAAGTCCAAACGAAACCATAAAACTGAGCCTTATCGGTAAAGAGAGCTGTTTACATACTGCGAATCATACTGAATAATTGTCTAAACCCTTTCGTTTTTTCCCTCCCCCCTCTTTTCCCATGAACTCCGGCGGGTGCCCGTGTGCCACGCGGGGCCTTGCGCATACCCGCCTCCTCCCTGCCGCCACCCGCCGCCCGCCCGGCAGAACCACATGCACTGTGCCGCTTATAGATGTCATAGAGGGCCACACTTTTAAGATTGTGCCGCAAGGGGGTGGTGACGAAGATGGGTTTGCTAGAGGAGCGTGGGATTGGAGCATGCTATGGAAGAGGGTGCCCCTCACCAAGCGAGAGAAGGAAAGCAGAAAGACAAAAACTGAACCGTATCGGTAATCACTAAATCACTTACCCCTTTCCTTTCTTCTGGACTCCGTATTGATCCACTAAAACTTGCATGTACTTCTAGCCTGGCAACCTGCCTATTTCTAACCGTACGGGCTGCTTTGTTTAATTGGACCTGTTTGCCCCGACTGACTGTGTGCTCAGAGGACCTTTGCTGCCGTGTGCTGCCTTTCCGTTCCTGCTCTTGGGTGGTTACCGGGGTGCACAGGAGAAGGACAGGGTTTTCTTTGGCAAAAGGAAATACCGTCTGACTTGGTTTCCCGGGAATATTTCATTTAGCCTGTGATGCTTTTTTAAAAGCAGTGTTGGAAACAACAACAGTGCTTATTTAACCGTTCGAGTTGAAATACCGAGCATGCTGTGAGTAGTTATAATAGCCGGTAATGCATACAATCTGTAGCCCGCTGTCACGGCCTGGTGCATGCGTACGGCTCGTGGATTATGCATGCGCATCAAAAAAATCCCTTTTGTCATATTTCTCCCACTTGCTTCGTAATAGATCACATCTGACAAAGAAGCATACTATTTAAGAATCTTGGCTGGATGTTTCCTGAGGTCTCAGTATGTGTAGAGATTTTAATTTAACACACAGAACGTAAAAATTAAAAAGAAAACCCCACCACCTTATTTTCTGGGAGAACTCCAATAACTTTCACAGAAGTCCCCCCTTTTTCTTTCGCTTTGTAGGGGGTATGTTTTCTTCCCAGCAAACAGACGCTGGCTAGAAGGCCTCGCTTAGAAACCAGGGTTTCTGGATGGCTTTTCAAGACTGGGAGACTGTGGTTCTGCTGGTTTTTATTACTTTCCCCTTCACACTTAACTAATCGTGTTACTGCATTTGAAAGCAATCCTCACATCTTCAGAATCTAATGTCTTCTATTGCTTGTATATATGATTTAAACATTGTAAGAACTGATGTTGGTAATTCCCTATCCTCACCCGTGATTGTTCTCTGCTGAAATGGCAACACATGCAAGCAAGTTATGAAGCTTTGATCTGTTTTCTGTAAAGTATAAATAATGCCATTTTCTGACAAGGCTGTCCACATTGCAACTTTACTATTCGCTTAGAGAGGGATAAACTATTTCAAGCATCGCTGTTGCGTTCTGTGTTTACCATCCAAACAGGTCTTAAAATCCTTTAAACTGGTCCCAGAAACACAGAACACATGTTCTCAGAACGGTTTAAAAGATGACTTTATTTTTAATAATACTTTCAGAGTTACAATGCTGCTTCTAAAAAGAGACGTTCCCTGCGTCTGTTTATGGCCGGGCCGTGCGCCTCTCGTTGCAGCAACGCCAAGGCAAGTGAGCCCGGGTAGAAGCCTGCTGAAACCCTGGCCAGGGTTGCCTGGTTTAAAAAGAAAACAAACAAACAAAAAAAAAAAAAACCTCAACAGCTTAAAGCGCAGAAACAAACTTTTCGGTTTTGTGAGAACTGCCCCAGGACTGACTCCTTCTTTCAGAAATAACTACGCTTCCCTCCGCCGCATCCCGTAAAATAAAGCCCGGAGCTCTCGCGGGTTCCAGCGCGTTCTTTAAGACGCTTGCCAGCCCGCCGGGGGCGAAGACCGAGCGCTGCCGACCCCGATGGTGCGGCGGCTGGGCCGGGCGCCGCGGGCACCGTGCCGTAGGAGACGGGGACGAGGGGACGCTCGGCAGCTGCCCAGGGGCACGGGGGAGCAGCCGCGCTGGTAACCGGGATGCTTAACTCAGCTGGGGGACCCTTCGGAGGGGCGGTGTGCCAACCCTACGGGGTTTCTTGGGCGGTTCTCCTCCGGGCACTGATGCGCGGGAGGGAAATACATAAGAATTGCAGTTAAAAGGAGCTCCTGGATTATGTGCATCAAAAAAATCCCTTCTGTTATTTTTCTCCCACTTGCTTCATAATAGGTCACATCTGACAAAGAAGCATACTATTTAAGAATCTCGGCTGGATGTTTCCTAAGGTCTCAGTATGTGTAGGGATTTTCATTTAATACATATAACATTAAAAAAAGAAAAAGAAAAAAAACCCACCTTACTTTCTGGAAGAACTCCAATAATTGTTAAAAGAATCACGCCAAGTTAAAAATGTAATGGAATGAAGAGACTGGGTGGTGCTAGAAATGACCCGTCTCTCACTGCTTTGGTCACGAAGGAGTATTTCCCTTGTGTCCGACGCGGCTCCCCGGAGGGATCTGGACTCTGGGATCCTCCTCCGGTCAGTGCTGCATATCATCAGGAGTCAGAAAGAATTCACTTTTTCCTTACCAGCTTGCTTTTTTTTTTTTTATTTTTTTTTTTAAATTGCCAACTTAGCAGGGACTCCAGCTTTTATCCATTAGGGTTTTTATATAGTTATTGATCCTCGGGTGAAGAACGCTTGGTACGCGCGCTGGGAATGGCGTAACGCATCCTGCTCTCCATTGCAGGGGGAGCACACCACCAAAGAGCGGCGGTTAGAGCCGTTCTGCAAAAATGCTCTGCTCCAAACCACGACGTCTTTTTGACACATTAAAACTTGATAATTGAACCCTGGCATACATGGAGGAATTTACAAAGCCATTTAAAAGAATTAAAATAAAATAAATAAACCAAAGGGGGAACTGTGTACAACTCGATCCAGGCCCTCTTCAAAATTTCACTGAGTATAAAGAAAAGTGTCTCACGTGACAGAAAAAGAGCCTGGGGGAGGAGATAGAAAAGTGTCGTTTAGCCGGAAAAACTCTCTTGCTCGTTTAATAGACAGTAAGTTTCAATGTGGCAGCTCCTCGGATCAGAAAAATCTCTTGTACAGTCTCATCTGTTACCTCCGCAACCTGAATGGCTCAAGAGAGAAACGCCTGGCCACGCTGAGCCTGACCTTTTTGATTTTCATAGAAGCGTGCTGCCTGGCTGAATGGGTAATACCAACCAAAAGTTTGTGTAATTAAAAAAAAAAAGAAAGCCCATAATAAAATCTGTGACTTTCACTAGAGATTATATAGATGTCAATTCAGAAAATTGCTGGACGCTGATGACAAAGCTTTATGATTTTTCAGTGTATTGCCATTTATCTGACCTTTATTCTATGTTACCAGTGAATTGCTTCCTTAATTAATGCTTACCCCGCTAACAGCGTGTCCCCTTGGCAGAAGGCGTTACGCTGTCTTCCTCTTTCAGGTCCCCTGCGATGGCTGGTGGATTGTTCGCCATCGAACGCGATTTCTTCTTTGAACTGGGTCTCTATGATCCGGGGCTCCAGATCTGGGGTGGTGAAAACTTTGAAATTTCTTACAAGGTAACACCAAAACCCAAAACCGAATTCAGTTGGGTAGATATTTTTTCCTGTACATCCTTCTGCCTGGAGTTCAGACCTCCCTCCCCGTGGTGTGCAGCCCCTCGGCCGAGCCCGGGCGGTCCGGTGGCGAGGAGATGCTGTGGCAGAAACGTGTCCCCTCCGCGTTTCTGGCGGGCTTTGGGCAGAGGTGTTGGGAGAGGTGGCCGCGTGCTGAGACCCGAATGCTGAGCCATCTAGATTTTGTCAACGTTTTGGGATCACGCCCTCCCCCCCCTCCCCCCAAATGCCTACTGTGAACCCGGACTGGCGCGTTTGACGGGTGGGAACGGAGTGCTCTCACGGCGAGTATAGAAAAACCTTGTTTCTGATGAAGGTGGTTCTAGAGAACAAGTAGCACTCAGTGTATGCATAGATGCCTGCAAAAGTATGTAACGACGCAAGAGAAAGGAATCTGCCCTGGTTTCCTCCTCCCTACCATTTTTATGGGTGAAAAATGATCTGATATACTTTTCAGAATTTCAAGAACTTCTTTACAAGAGAAGTCTTCATAATGGGAGCGCTAACTGTGTAATCCATAATCCCTCCAGAAGGTTTTATTTTCACTCCTAGGCGTACGCACGCTCCCCGGTTAGCAGGAAACAGAAGATGAGAACATTAGCTTCTTGTAGCGTCAGTCTTCACGGTGACCCAAGTGGCGGACAGCAGGAACCTGTCCCAATCAACAAACAAAAGTGGAGACATCTAATATCCCCAGCAGCGATCTGTATTTTACTAGAAGTGCGTTCAGTGCTCCCCGGCTGCTCCTGCTCTTGGAGATCCTGAGGAACGCTCCGAACGCACTTGCTCACCTGTAGACCCATATGCCAAAGGCAGTCACTGAGGATGTTACGCATCCAGGATCTCTGTCCTTCTCATTCTTCTTGCTCAGAGCGAAATCGCGATTGAAATTCCATACAGTGGTTTTGTATCTGAAGTGCTGATTACATAGAGACCTCCAAATTGGTTTCCCGTAGATCACAACCAATCTGCAGATGAGCGAAATAACACTTCTCGGTCTTGCACGCTGACTCCTAGTTAGCAAATATATTGGCCTTGCGTATCTGAGGGGTGGTTTTGACGAAGCTTAAGAAAATTAATCTGAGGATGCAAGGAAGGCAGGAAACTCTTCTGCCCATCTTTCCTAATACTGTTAAACCGTATTTTTAATCTGGAAGTCGGACTAATTTGGAACATCCCATGAGTCAGCTTGAGTTTGGATTTGATACTACGTTTCAAAGTTGTCAAAACTCTGAGCAACTAAATTCAGATTTAGGTATGTTTTCTTTTCCCCATAAATGGATTGTCCAAGGATGTGGGGCAGGGAGGGAGTTTCAGAATGGTAATGTGTTTTGGCCATTTTTTTCATTCCAGCTTCTATAGTTAAAGAAAAATCTGTTTGTTCCTGGAACAATGGGTTACCAGTCAGCCTGATCTCCTACTAGTCTTTATTAAGAAAAACTTAGATGTGATGGGCATCTAACCAAAACCCATCTTAGTGACGGTATGGGAACTGCTGTAATAAAATCAAAATGTTATTAATTCTGTCATAATAAAAATTACCCAGTTCCAGATTTTGTGCGCTCGTTCATTGCTCTTGTTTTAAAATAGCAATGGAATGAGTTGGCAAACTTTTTTCAAAGCTTTTTTTTAAAAGTAATTTAGGTGAGTAATTTCACGGCTGAGTTGAAGATGTACTCAATACCGCCTTTCATTTCTCAGACCCATTGTGTTTATGCTTACATCTGAAGTGAAAATATTTAAATATGTCACACAGTTGGTATAGTAAGAAAAGTAGTTGACATTTCTTCCGTAATTTATTATCTGTTGGTCCGTGTCAAATTCCTGTGCATGTATACTAATATCCCCACCTTTGCTTTAACTTGTAGATCTGGCAGTGTGGGGGGAAGCTGTTGTTTGTTCCCTGTTCTCGCGTTGGACACATCTACCGGCTCCAGGGTTGGCAAGGGAATCCGCCCCCGGTGTACGTGGGGTCTTCTCCTACGTTAAAGGTACTGTTCTGCTGCAACCCTGAAGGTGGTTTTTGATTTCAGATAAGAACAGTTTTAGATAAATCTATTTAAATTACCAGTAGCAATTTAGAGAGCACGTCATCCAAAGCTATTTGTCTAAAGCTCAGAGGGTCATCCCCGCAGGAGGGAAATCTTTGTTCCGACCCCACTGTTATTAATCCATCTTCCTGCTCCACCCCTCCCCATCTCTGGGGTACAAATGGCATTTCCCAGTACCTCCCAGCAGCACCCCAAGCCTTTGCTGAGCTGAGCCCGACTGACGTACCGACAACTCTAGAAACTACAGCCCGCGCCTGGAGGTGGTGGTGGTGGGTGTGAGATCCCCTTTGGTTGACAGGGTGAGATCCGAGGTTAGAGCTGAGTGAGCGCGTGCTGTAGTCGAGCATCTCTCGGGCCTTTGTGGCTGCGTGTGTTAATTAAGAAGCAGTGGAGGACACCTGGGGAAGTGGTGTGCGCTGCACTTCACCGTATCTCCTCAGGCACCTCACAGGGTCAGAAGTGGTGCTCAAGCCGTGATATTAAAAGTAGACATCGCCTCAAGAACAGCGTGAGCCTGCTGGCTGTGTCTGAAGAGATCGTTTGAATCCAGAAAAACTGTTTTATAGGAGTTTGCACTTACCAGCAGGAGGAGAGAGAGCCCTCCTGGTCGGGTTTCCTATTGCCCAGTTTAAGCTTCCTCTTGTGCAGTGTTTTGGCATGGGTAAATCCCGTTCCCAAAGACTCAATTCTTTGTAAATTCCAATCCCAGAGCCGTTTTCCCAGACGTTACCTGTGACGATGACTACTGGCAGGGTTACGTTATGGCTTGAGCCCAGCTGGCGGTTGGCTCTGTTGGAAAGGGACTGTCCCAGCCCAGCTTAATGGTAGAAAACTAACCTGGCGCCACCCCCTCCGCCCCCCATCCCCCCAAAAAAAGAAGTCCTCTATTAGAAATGTGAATTGATTAACATTTTGATCAAACAAGCGGTAGGACCAGTACGAGGGGAAACGGGCATGGGTGGGAGCAGAGGCAGAGCGATGGGAGGCAGGACAGCAAACGATGGCTCTGTCGCTCGGAGCAGGCAAGGGGGTTGTCTGCCCTCTCTGAAACGATAAAAAACATCTCACTCTTCTCAAAAGCTGGTTAAAAATAGGTATGGCATATCTAACCACCTTCAGTGAGTCTGCTCGTCTGATTACTGAACACAGCAAAGCACTGCTGAGGGGGGGTTCAGCCTGGGGAAGAGAAGGCTCCGGGGAGAGCTCAGAGCCCCTTCCAGTGCCTAAAGGGGCTCCAGGAGAGCTGGGGGGGGACTCTGGGTCAGGGAGGGGAGCCGTGGGACGAGGCGGAATGGTTTTACACTGAAAAAGGGGAGATTTAGATCAGACATCGGGAAGAAATTGTGGACTGTGTTCCCCTGGGGCAGGTTGCCCCGAGAAGCTGTGGCTGCCCCATCCCTGGAGGTGTTCAAGGCCAGGTTGGACGGGGCTTGGAGCAACCTGGGCCGGGGGGGGGGGGCCCTGGCCCGGGCAGGGGGGGACTGGATGATCTTCAAGGTCCCTTCTGCCCAAACCATTCTGTGATTCTATGAGTGTTCTGAAATGTTAGGTTGCTTCTCTGTACAAGGCGGGATGCGGGAACAGCTTTCTCCCTCTCCGGGCGCCCTCCGAGCCCCGTAGCAAAGGTGCTTCTTTATAGCTGTGTTCAATTTATGCTGGACGGGGACTGAAGTCAAACTGACGGTAATTTGTGCCTTTAGTCAGAAGCGTTGTACGCAGCGGGGTGTGCGTGTGCACCGTGTGCAGGTTACACGGAGATAAGAGCCATCAAAGCGACAGAGAAGGAAGAGGTTTGTTCACCAGACGAGTCGCCCCCTTCTCCCCGCAGCAATAAACTGCTTTACTCAGGAAGATAAAATCTCCTTGGGGTGTCATAGCTGACGCAGTTAAGACTTAATTTTTTCCCCCCATATCATTCTCTGTATTAAAACTGCAGAAGGTGAAATCAATCTCTGCACTGCGGTTCTGGCACACAGCAAATGATCGCAACATTTTATTGCACCCGTAACTGAAGAGTCTTCATTTTCAAAGAAACATTCTCTACGCGTAGAAAAAACTTTGCACTCTCACTGAGTAAGCCAGTTTCTTTTGCTAGCTTCAGTCCTAAACTGTCACTTGAAAATAATACGCATCTTGTGTAACCTGCTGAAGGTGACAAATTATTAGTGCTATGTAAGAATTTTGCTCTGCCACTTTTTGAGGAGAAATGCTTAAATTTCTGGTATTAACAGGCAGTTGCGTCTGACCTGTAGTGTGTGCTCTGAGGCAGCAGCAATGTCCTTGTTCCTCACAGAACTATGTCAGAGTTGTGGAAGTGTGGTGGGATGAATACAAAGATTACTTCTACGCCAGTCGGCCGGAGACAAAAGCGCTACCCTACGGAGATATATCTGAGCTGAAGAAGTTCCGTGAGGATCACAACTGCAAAAGCTTTAAGTGGTTTATGGAAGAAATTGCATATGATATAACTTCGTATTACCCACTGCCGCCTAAAAACGTGGACTGGGGAGAGGTAAGTACAGCACGTAACCTGCAGTTATTTCAGGAGCTTTTTTAAAAAAACTGGGGATTCAAAAAAGCGACTGGTACTTGACATCAGTCTGAGAACAGACTCTCTGATTGCTGCTCCACCAAGGTACACCATACTAGCCAGGGAGCTATGGAGACAGAACCCTAGGAAAAAATACATGTACTCTTTAAGAGGTGCAGTTTTTTTAATTGGCTGCCTAGTTCCTTGAAGGATTATTTTATCTGTAGCCCTGTCTTCAGTTATGTCTAAAGTTCTTTTTTCCATAATTGGAATTTAGTATTTTTTAAAAAGAAAAAATGCCACTCCTGTGTGCGTAGGCGTATTGGCGAAGATTAATAGGTGACAATCTTCTTCTGCGAAGGCCTGGAGAATAAATCATGAGATCCATGGATGGGAATAAATCATGAGATCCATGGATGGGAATAAATCATGAAATCCAGGGATGGAGCCCATCCTGCCTGCGTTTGCTGGGCTGGGATGTGCTCCCACAGCCACAGCCTCGCTAAATCCCTCATCGACATGATTCGGTCACAGCCCTCTCCAGCATTACTCTATGCGTGTATTAGTGTATGTGACTTCGCTAAATTAAGGACGTGGTTCCAGATGGAGCATTTCCCCATGGTTGTCCCCGGGCAGGGGCGGGGGACACCTCCCCGGTCCCTGCCCCTTTCGGTCCAGCATTGTGCCCGCACCTTGCGGAGCTCTTCCTGCAGGTCTCCCTCCTGCGTGCAAATTATTCTCTTTTTGCCCTTTTCAGTTGGTTCCAGCCTTGCCCCGTCGCTCCTGTTCGTTTCACTTTGGCAGATTGTCGAGGCAAAATCAGAAAATGAGCTTGCTAGCAGAGGAGGAGTCCAGTGTCCCACCACGGTTACCACGATGGGCGCGGTGGGAGGGGGTGCAGATAGTCTTGTATCTGAGGGACCAGCTGACGGACGCCACCTTTATATCTGCCCTCAACGCTAGCACAAAGCGTCGGTTACTCCGGTAGCCTGAGACCCCCTCTTGAACCCAGGTAAAGGGTTCGGAAGCCCCGTTACGCATTTCTGCTCCCTGAGGGGAACGTGTCCGCAGAGAATAAAATAATAATAATGGCACCTTGCGGGAAACCATCCCCGATAAAAGTGAGCGGCTCTGGCGAAGCAACAGGAGAGTTGGACGTTCAGAGGAGCCTCTGAAGTTTTCTTCAGCTCTTCTTCGCTGGTTGCTAGATATCCTACACCTGGGAGTTTTCCCCCACCTATTTCTAACCCCGCACTAACGGTGTTTCCAAAGCGTCGGGAATGATGGTGTGGGGTTCAGCTGGAAGTCAGGTCCAACCTCAGACCTCCAGATTTTCTTCTGGCGTCACGAAGAAGAAAGAGGCTCTGGCAAAGAAAACCGGTCTGGAAAGAATGTTATTTGTGTCAGAAAGGCTTTGTAAAGCTGTTTGCCTGTTTGCTGGCCCTTCGGCGGAGGGAAGGGGATCATCGGCAGTAGAGGCGTGCTTTCGGACAGGGCTTTTGTTCTGTATCCCCGTGCCTGTGTGTGCCCCTCATCAATTTTATCTCTTTTTCCCCGTGTAATTGCCCTGCGGCGGGTCCGGGGAGCAGCGGGGCGGGGGGCTGTGCCCGGCGGCGCGACTTCCCTGCAGCACCTCCCGCATCCGCAGGGCGAGAGCCGCTTAGTGACCTCCTGCTTTACTCATGACACCCGAGAGCCTGAACATGCTTTGACAGGAGATTGGGTAAATTAAAATACCCGAAAGCGCTACATTTGAGTGTCATTAATTTGGAACTGAGCTTCGCAACTCTCGCCTTACCGCGTACTCTAATTCACCTAAGAGCCCACAGATCGGTAGGGCAGCTAGAAGCTCCATCTCCCAGAATGGGGAACATCAGCATTTACATTTCAGTCGTGGGTTTCTCTCATCTCTCACCTGTTTCTGGCTTGAAAGATTCGTGGGATTTTTCTGAACCCCTTCACGTTTATTTTTCCCTTGAGACTAACTTAAAGCGCAAAACCTCTTTTCCAGATTAGAGGCTTCGAAACCGGTTACTGCATCGACAGCATGGGGCACACCAACGGGGGCTTCGTTGAGCTCGGGCCATGCCACAGAATGGGGGGAAATCAGGTGAGGAGCTCGCAGGCGAGTCTGAAGGAGCATTGCTTGCCGCGGCGGGTAACAGCGGCGGGTTTCGGTTTAGCCTGACCGTAAAGCCACTTCGGTGCCAGCTACAAAGATGGGAGTTGGGGATTTTCCATAAGCGCACTGAGGTGGCTAAAGTACGGGGATCTGGAAAGATCATCGCGAACATAAACGGTACACAGTTGAAGGCAAATTCATCATCTCTTCTTCAGCGAGGCAGGCGCATGAGGAAGCAAGGACTGGGTTTGAAAGCAGTCCAAGCTGCCGAGGTGTCTGACCTGCACCTTCACACGCCTACCCACGCTACCGCTCAAACGGGCTGCTCTGTATTTACATCTCTTTTGTCGGCTGGCAAACTTTTCAGCATTTAAAGCCTTTATTTATGCTGATGGCTTGACCCAGGCAAGTTTTGTCACAGCAGTCGTGAAATCACATGCAGGATGACGCTTTTAAAAATCGTGTTTGGGTTAGCTCTTGGTAGCCCTTGGAAACGTCTCTTTTATTTTGATATTTAATGAAAAAGTTCCCCAGGCTACTTTTTCTGGGTATGTTACCCCCCAAAACCCTGTAACAATTGCTTCATAAGAAGTAGCTAGCATGATCTTTTTGTATCTGGGTGCATCAGTTTGATTTCCTCCATGGGTAAAATGCCAAAGTTTTACTGTCTCCACATGAAATCAGTGCCCAGGACCAAGGACCTGCTACCAGACCTTTAGAAAGGCCGTGGATTATTTGGCCACCAAATCATACAGAGGCTTTAATCAAACGCTTTCAGAAGTCTCCCAAATAGGCATCCCTTTGTTTTTACCTTTTTTGCCTGGCCAGGTAAGTTTTCTTGGCCTTCTAAACCCTACAGGGAAGTTCTCCAGGAAATGGAGTGTCGCGATCGTAAAAGTGCGTTACTCCATGTAAAATAAAGAGCCCTCCTGGAAGAGAGGTGTGGTAACACCGGACAATGTTTTAAATTTCGTTGGTATTTTCAGTATTTCTAAAATACTCGTTATTTTGAGTCAAGTGTTAAAAAGGTGGCTTTTTTTCCCCCCTATTAGTTTTTTTTGAATCAATGAAGCTAATCAACTCATGCAGTACGATCAGTGCTTAACTAAAGGGCCGGATGGATCCAAGGTTATGATCACACACTGTAATCAGAACGAATACAAGGACTGGCAATACTTCAAGGTACGCACCAGACAGATAGCAGAAAAGACATATTAAGTTGCATCCCGGGGTTTTCGCACCTTTTTTTTTATTATTTTTACGTGTGTCTGAAAATAAATGTCTATAACAGGGTTAACTGAACCAAGTTGTTCATTGCACGTTCTTGGCAATCCACGCTGCCGGGAAAACTTCCTCTCGGGAAAGGTGCTGTAGGTAGCGCATCTCGCCGCTCCTGCCGCCGCCGAAGCTGGAGGGACGACGTCGTGAGGCTGCGTGTGGTGCCGCAGGGGTGCCGGCAGTTGGCGCTTGTCTCCGAGGAAGCACAGAGGATGTCTGCGACCGGCGACAGGGTTTCTAAAAAGCTTTTTGTGGCGTCACCCTCTCTGCTTGTATGCTTTCTATCAAGAAAATCTCTTTAATGGAGGCTGTGAGAAGATTGCTTAAATGCTGAGGTGCGTTTCGCAGCTAGGGTCGATACTCTGTCTCATTTAGGGAGGTCTAACGTGCAGTGTCGCTGTTTACATACGGAAGATCTTTTTAAGCCTACGTAGGAACAGGTAACCATAGCGTTACTCTGCCTTTTTGTGTTGTCTTTGCCTTCTTCAGCGTTTCTTTTTCCTGTTCATCGGCCGTTCTCTCATAACACGCTCTGTTGTGAGTTCTGGGTGTGGCGCCGTGATGAGGCTATTGCAAAATCTATGAATTTTTAATAAAGTCGTGGAATGTTGGCTGATAGACGTGCGAGGGCTGCTGCAGCCTGTTTAGTCACTACATCTGTAAGTCCTCTGTTCTAGTTTGGAAAGTGATATTTTAAAAAATGTCTAAGGTTATATTTCTGTTTGTCTCTTAAAAAACGAGACCAAATAATCTGAGGGTGACGTTATCCTTGGATATAGCTACGCGTAACTTGGTTCTGTGTCTAAGAAACTCTTCCGTGTCGATTTTGCTTCGGTCTATCTAGTGTGTTGCACGGTTGTTAATTCATTAGCTGGTTATTGTGTTGATCTGAAAGATGTCAGCACTGCTGAGTGCAGCAAAACCTGTTTGTTATCCTTTAAGCCCCCCCTCCATGAGTTTTTCTGCTCTTTGCACAGAGCTAGGAAATCTCAAGCACCGCCATGCCATGGCCACCCAGCTTGCTTGTGCGCGTAGACAGACGAAATTCTTTAAACCTGAAGTTTAAAAATCAGTGAGCAGTATCCCATGTGCCTGCCCACTTCTGCTTTAATATTGGAAGAATACGTCAGACTTGTTAACTCTCCAACCATTCCAGTCTGTCCCAGCATGTCGCTTGGCTCTTCTCTAAGTGTCTTTTGTGCCAGAAGAGCCGTTTCCTCCACAGTGGTACCAAGTTGTGTAGTTGTTTAAGGACATGGACCTGCTGGAGCGTGTCCAGAGGAGAGCCACGAGGATGACCCGAGGGCTGGAGCACCTCTCCTATGAGGAGAGGCTGAGAGAGCTGGGGCTGTTCAGCCTGGAGAAGAGAAGGCTCCGGGGAGATCTTATTGCGGCCTTCCAGTGCGTAAAGGGGCTCCAGGAGAGCTGGGGAGGGACTTTGTACTGGGGCATGGAGTGACAGGACGAGGGGGAATGGCTGTAAACTGGAAGAGGGCAGGTTTAGATTAAACATTAGGAAGAAGTTTTTCCCTGTGAGGGTGGTGAGGCACTGGCCCAGGTTGCCCAGAGAGGCTGTTGAGGCCCCATCCCTGGAGGTGTTCAAGGCCAGGCTGGAGGGGGCCTTGGGCAACCTGGGCTGGTGGGAGGTGGCCCTGCCCAGGGCAGGGGGGTTGGAACTGGATGATCTTCAAGGTCCTTTCCAACCTAAACCATTCTATGATTGTTTGCTTATTACCACAAGTTCTAAGGAAGCCGGGCAGGCACGGTCTGGGCTGCAGAACAAAACACCCACTGGCTTCCAGAAGGGAAGGAAAGGGGATGTGAGAGGGAAAGGACCACCAAGGCTGTGTGACCGAGCAGATACCAGAAACGTGGCACGCTCTGCCCGGCAGTTCGCAGGGTCTGACCGTCCCTTCCAGCAGGAGGGCGTAAGGACCAAAACGCTGATGAACTCCTGAAAAATGTTGTGGCCTCGCGTAAGTGAAAGCTGCCGGGAGATGCCGTGTGCCGGGTCGGTTGGTTGTTTCTGGCACAAAGGGTCGTGTGCCAGTGGGGTGAGCCTGATGCCGGCACCGCGGGAGGGCAGCCGGGAGCTGGTTCGGTTACGGGAGGGATGAAAAGTCTGGACGCGGTTTAGACACGGTTTTGCTCATTTTCTTAGCAGCCTGTTGCCGAAGAGAAGTGGGAGGCGTCTCCAGCGGCCCTACACCTATCAAACATGCCGTGGGGTGAGGGTTGGGAAAGTCTCGGTTTGACACATAGTAAAATAAGTACAGAACTGGTTTGTTCTGGGACCCCGAAACCCGGTTTTGTAAATTGCTATATTACAGTTGAGAAGAAAATGTTTAAAAAAAAACCAAAACAAAGCAACAACAAATGTTCCTGATGGTTTTGTTTTCCAGAATCTGCACAGATTTACTCACATTCCATCGGGGAAGTGCTTGGATCGCTCCGAAGTCCTCCATCAAGTTTTCATTTCAGAGTGTGACTCCAGTAAAGCAACGCAAAAATGGGAAATGAACAACATCCTCAGTGTGTAGAGAAACAAACCCTACCTACTGACACGCGCGTTTGTGCAGGACTGCAAATGGCCTGAAACTGCTGCAATTATTAACTCTGTACAGCTGCGAGCCTCCCGGCGCGCACGAAGGACGTAGACGAACTGTGATTATTACAATAACATTATCATCCGCAGTTAATGTTTACAAAACTGCTTTACCTTAAACTCCGTAGATGTTTACATCTTTTTGTTTTAAGATGTTGGTAAATTAATGTGCTGTTAGCTATGTTTCACGGGAACATAGTTAAAAGCGTTGTCGTCTTCTTCGGGATTACACTCAGGGGTCTGAAGGCAGTTTTTTTACACACACTTGAAAAGGTTGGAGTAACCAGATTTTCATAGAACTTGGTGATTATCAACCTGTTGTATATTTTTATTTAATTTTACATCTTACTAAGCACTGCCACAGGTTATGAGCCAGGGTGGCCTTCTCTCACAGTCATGCTGCTTTTTTGGAAGGTGAATTTCAACATATTTAGTGCCTCTTTCATTTCTCTCTTTCACAAGAAGAGCATTTGTTGGAAATGATACGATGGATTTTTCTGAGCTGTCACCAGGGGTAGGGACCGACTGTGCCCCCCCGTGTAATTGTCGTGTTACTGAAGACAGATTCCCCTCGCCCGTTCGGCTGCTCTGCTCCGGCTGGGCGCCGTGTACGGTGCAGGGAAGAGCTTAGTGCCGAGGTCAGCGCTAATCTGGTACCTTTTGACGGGAGTAAGCACCCTCGCGATTCCAGTTGAGAAGTTATAAGCACTAACTTGCTTGTTTAAACCATGCCTTACATAAAAGCAATTAAAAAAGAGAAAATAAAAAAAAAAAGCTGCACAATTATGTAAGACTTAGAGAGGATCCAATGCTTCGTTTATGTTGTTATTTTAAATGGGAATCACTTAGAGGAGGACTAAAACTTTTAATTAGGAAAAACCATCCGGCTCCTCGACACATCTGCATCGTTCTTTACAAAGACATCTGTCAGCTAGCTCGGGTGCCAGATGTAGATTTGAAAAGAGAAATGGAAATCCTGAAACCGCATTTATTCATCCTAATTTTCTTCTTATTTTTGTCATTGGAAACTTTTCCCGAGGGATTACGAACACAAAATACAACCGCTGGGTGCTATAGTGTACAGAATAGAATGTGAAGAGGTTGTTCCTAACCGTGCTGTGGGCAGGCGTTCCCGCGCGCTCCCCGCGAGTGGAAATACTCACTGGGAACGAACAGAGGGGTGGAGGAGAAATGACTTATCCTCACCTCCTTATTCCCCGTGTCGTGACTGTCCGGTGTTGACATCAGTGTACTGGTTTCCTACGAGTTCCGCCTATAACGTGTCACACTATTAAATACAGCTAAATACTTCCCTGGAATCTAGACTAGCGTTGCATGCAGCTTCCGTTGGTGTTAACAAGGGTTGTGTGTCATGTTTGGTGGCAGAGTTTGATCTTTACAGGGCTGTCTGCGCTGATCTGGTAGTTTGGGGTCTTGCCTCGTTTCTTGAAACTTCTCACCTATCCTTTCGGAGCTATGAAAAAGAGAAAATAAAGGAGGGAGAAGCTGGGGAAAAAAAAGGAAAACAAGGGTGTGTGCCGGTACTTGTTCCTTGTGTGTATGAAAACTGACTCCATTTTTGTGTGTTGGGTAGATTAATTTAATCATACGACTATGCATAAGAGAACGAATGGGGCGCATAGATTGTGCGGGTGTGCGTTTTAAATGGGTGTTTTGTGCAATTCATCGAAAGCTGATGCTGTGCGTGAACATGAATCTGTACGTGAGACTGAAACCTCACAAAACATGAGATCGTGAGAAGCTGTTGCTGTAATGACTTTTTCCTACTATAGCCGGCTTGGAAAAAAAGAATTCCCATATTCTTGCTTTGTAAGTTGATGACAATATCACTATGCATTTCTACATATTTTATAAATTTGATTTATGCAGATTTTGATACACTGTATGTTTCTGTAGAAATTGTATAAATCTTAAAAAAAATTTATTAGGGATAAATCTGGGAAACATGTATATCTTACTTATGGGTTGCTTGTTTTTTAGGTGAAGTAAATAAAATATTTGAATTTTGGGGTTTACTATACTTTTTGCAGAGTCAAAATGGATTATTATCATCATAGAAACCCTCTATCTCTAAATCTAGACAACTTCAATGTTACAAACTTACGAATATTAAAAGTGGTTTATTTTACTTTTTATTTAGGTCCCTTTTGTCATATCTGTGGGGACTGAGGTTTTTTTCCAGTGAAGGGAAGAATGAAATTCCCACTGCGAGCTGCCACGTGGATGCATTTGGATTTTTGTATCACCTGCCCTGATCTAATTAGGTAGATTTAATATGCTCGTAGAAAATGAAGTTGAGAATGGTTTCTAAAGTAGACCCCAAGGCCAGGACAAGTCGGTAGCGGTTTGACTCTCTGTTGTATCTTAGTCCCTGCATGTTTCCACCAACAAACATGTTTCAATCAATCACTATTTTTTTTTCCTGAGAAAGTTTCTTAACATAAGAGTTTGTCGTTAAACTGGGACACGGCAGACACAAGTTCTGCCCTAAGAGCCAACCTAACCGCTGAAATCCTCGGCACGTGGGTACCGGCGGCTTTCTTGTTCCCCTGCCGTGCCTCACAACGCACTGCTGCGTGTTCAGATTTCCGCAGGCTCCTTTGGTGAAACGCCGGCAGGACGGCCGTGGCCAGCTCGCGGTCTGAACCGGGCACCGGTAGGAAGGAGGGGACATCTGTCTGCCTTACCAGCGATCCCCGCACCAGGAGGACCGTCAGCATCCTTTGGGCGGCACCAAAGACGCTGTCCCCGTCGGTGGCATCCTCGAAGAGATCCCTTCTCTTGCCCTAACGCCAGTCAACCCCCGTTACTACTCTCTGCTTCTTCCCTACCACTCGCCTCCAAATTGCACTCCCTACGGCCAACAGTTGAGATCAATTTGCCGCTCTGAAAGTGGACCGAGAAGCCCGAGATCTGCTAGCGCTATGCCAGAGATGTCAGAATTTTATGTTTCTCTCTGATCTGTGGGACTTTTCAGCAGAAAAGAAAGAAACACACCAGCTGCCCATAAAAACCCCAAAGCTGCTTTGCTAGATTTTGCTGTGTATCAAGTGTCATTTTCCCTTTAGGCTAAAAAAGATCAAATTGTGCAAGATTCGTGGAGGCGCAGGAATAAGGAGGGGCATTTCAGACCGCGCAGAAGAAATTAGCTACACTGTTGAACACAAACCGAGTTTTTGTACAAGCGTTCCTCGTTTGTTCCCTGCTGGAGAGCCTAGATCCATCCGTTATAACAGGTGAAAAGAAACAGCTCAGAAAAAACAAATTAGCAGTGTTCCTGCTGCTGGTTGTTGTTCTCCTTGCTGTAAAAGGCCTGGGAATACTGAGCCTGGCGGTGCTCTGAAGTCTTACCTTGCTCCATTTGCGAGAGCAGTCCTTGAGGAGCATCAGCGGTTACCTTCCAGGGCGATGTTTGCTTTCTGGGAACATCAGAAGTGGTTGCCAGTGTTTAGTCCTCTGGTTGGTGGCTCGACTTAACCCTGCGCGCCTCCTGCGAGCTCCTGCGCTAAGTTGTGGCGCGGTAAGTTGTGCAGCTTGGCTGGCACCGCCAAGGAGGACTCTACGGAATGAGTCTAGGCAGAAAAAGTGACAGGCTATCAAAAAACGCCGGTGAGTTTGCCTCCCTTTGGGTTTTGGGGGGAAAAAAAAAAATAAAAAGGTACATAAACGGAGTGCCCGTGGAGGCCCGCAGCCGCTTTGGGCGTCCTTGCACGGCGGGGAGCCGCTGGGGACCTCCCGTCCCAGGCGGCTGCTCGTCACCCCCGCGGTGGCCTGGACTCCCGCGGAGCACAGCACGGGCGGGGAGGGGCGTTCCTGTGGGATGCTCTCACCATTCACCCGGTTAATGGCTAGTAACCTTCTTTTTTTGGGTCTTAAACACATAGTCCATTCCTTGCACGGAGACACAAATTACGTATTCTCCGTTACCATGTCACGCGGGCCCTGGTAAAAAGAAAAATGAGCTATTTGCACAAACCGTAGGGGTTTTTTTACCGCGTTGCACTGCTCTGTGACTGTTGGGAAGGGCAGAGGGATGGAGGCTCTTCAGCGAAGCAGCGGCAGAGCTGCTGGAAGATGCACCTTCCTTCGGCTGACAGGTCCGCCAAGGTGAGGAGGATCAAAGCCTGCGAGGACGAGTTAGAGCTGCTCAAACACCACCAGGAGAAGGTATGTTTGCATGTTTCCCTTCTTTGTCTCACTGATATACTTCACCGAAAAGAAAGGCGATGGCGGTAGGGACAAGAGCTCGCGTGAAGCGGGGTGCAGGTGAGGCAGGGCTGGGGGCGAGGTGGGTCCTGAACGTGATGGTCTGGTGGGAAGGCAGAACTGCCTCCGGTGGGCTGCTGCTTCAAACCACTCTGCGAGAGTAACGTCTCCTGCGCAAGAGAGGAGCAGGAGGGTGGGAGAAGCAGCTGCTGTAAACCTGTGTTGAAAAAAAAACCCAAAACAACAAACAAATGGGGGAGATGCACATGATGGCAACAGCAGCGCCCGGGCTGAGCATCCCGAAGGGAGAGATGGTGTTTCACCTTCTCGTTAGCTTCCATGTGGTGACTCTGAGAGGAATGGAGTCTGCGCTCCCGAAATATCAGGCCCCTTTCTCTCAGACGGACAAAGTTGAAAAATACCGTGACTTAGGATAAGAACTGACCTTAACATAAGAACTTAAAAAGTCCGTGGAAGATCAGACCCAAGGTCCAGCGAGCATAGTAGCCTGTCTCCTGCAGTGGTCTGCAGGATCAACGTGGTCAAGGAGTGGAGGGCGGAGGGAAAGGTCGGGGCAAGGATACCTGTCCAACACACTCCCTACTTCTGGCAATATGCAACTCAAGAACTCTCTGAGCTAGAGATGGTATTTTTTAGTTAATAGACCAGAATTTGTCTAACCACTGTTTGAATCTAGGGAGACTTGGGGCAACCATCACATCTGATTGTGCAAAAAGTGGGGGAAGCACACTGGCTCTGCAGTTTGCTCCCCTGCCGAGACAAATCAGCGCGATACGGGAGAATCACAGAATCGTAGAATGGTTTGGGTGGGAAGAGACCTTAAAGATGACCCAGTTCCACCCCCCTGCCCTGGGCAGGGACACCTCCCCCCAGCCCAGGCTGCTCCAAGCCCCGTCCAACCTGGCCTTGAACACCTCCAGGGATGGGGCAGCCACAGCTTCCTGGGGCAACCTGCCCCAGGGGATCACC